TGTCATCACACTAGTCAAGCACATTCACATGATAACAGGAGGAGAAGCAGGAGTAAACAGCTAGCCCGGGTGTGTAAATAATGTCAAAATGATGCAGTGTGAATGTATTTGTGTCTTCTAAGGGTACTCCTCTCATTATAAGCGTTCCCACTGTTGGGCCTCACATCCATGACAACAAAAATGGGTCTTCAGGTCACTAAGGAGCCCGTCATGCAAGTCTGTAGACAAAGGACAAGCTAGAGAACAGAGACTGAGCCTTGTGACATCCTGCAGGGCCCTTGGAGTCCCAAAAGCCTGAGTTTGGAGTTATCTCACGCAAAGGACTGTAAAACAGGCGAGCGGTGATAGGAGACACAATTTTCTCAGCGCTGAACTTTCTTTGTCCTGAATACAGACTTCACTCGCTGGACTTGCAACTCTGTTTTCTTCTTTTTCTACCTCTATTATTTTTTCTTTGTGTTACCAACAATTTTGGATCCCAAAAGAAACTGTTACAGAAGATAACGTTTGATTCAAGAAGAAGACGGATAAACTCCGTGCTTAACTGAGAAGATCATGTCCGTGCTCTACCCTCTCAACCCTACCCTCTCAACCAGTGATTCCTCTTGCTGTCGCCGAAGAATCAGCTGTGCCGTTGAAACTACCGGCATCGTCATAGTCGAGCCGAGAGAAACTCCGCTGGATTTCCTAAAAGGACTGACGCATCTACTCGCTACCAAAGCGACACGTAAGAGGCTTTAGTATGTCTAGACAGCAGATAGTTCGATAACCTTGTTATTGTAACTTGTACAAGCTTCATGTGGTGAATTTCTGTTAGACTCCAAGGGATATTTAAAGACCGCGGTGTCTTGTTTTATTGCTGTGTTTTCTCCATGCTACGCACGTTGTTTGTGTCCGGTACCACCCGCTGGGCTCGCTCGATGTCAGCTGGGATTGGCTTCAGCTTCCGCGACCCTGTATGTATGATAGGCATTTGACGATTGATGGATGGATGTACATTAAGGTGGGAACTGGTGTTTTGAAACTGTTTGTAGTGATTGTATTTTACCTTTTAAGTAAATGTAGCAAAGTTAAAAGTAGATTACTGGGCCCGAAAAATACTCAAGTAAAGAGAAAAAGTACAGTTTTAAAAAAGGAATGTGAAAGTTGCCGTTCCTAAAAAATGTTTTTACTCATTTGTGCTACCCACACCTGTGTATTTTAAACATAAAAATGTATACTGCACAACTTAACCCACCTACGTTAGTTTCTCAGGAACAGCAAAGATGTTAAGGTTGTGCAATATCTCATTACACTCATTGTGGGAAATGCAGCCAACAGTGGTTGTGCAATCAACTATCGTGAGAAGGCGTCAGTGTGCTTACTTATATGGGTACCTGTCTAATGTATATGAGAGTATGTATTGTGTTGCATAAGAGTATGTGTTGAGAGATGTCTGTTTACTGTAATTTTGTGTTGTCTTTACAAAGCTACAGAAAGGGCAGTTTAGTCTAGATTTGTCATTTCGAGGAATAATTGTCTGTATTGAGTTGGACATGACCAGCTCAAAAGCTAACTTGATGTGTGTTAAGTAGCAATTCATAGTAATTTACACCATATACAGGACTGTACTACAAACACAATTTTTATGACCAAATTTATTTCAATATAAAGGTAAAACAATTACAGTGATAACATGTTCAATAGTAAATGTGTACACCATGTACAGAAAGTTTTAAATAGAGAAATTCCTTGTCTGGAAAATCTCAAATGTATTGACTGCACTGTTGAAGAAGCTGAAAAGTAAAAAATCAGATTTGGGAGTTGGAATTGAAAAATAAATCTTAAATAACATTTTTACATTTTAACTGTTGCTTTGGCTCGGTATGCAGAAGTTGTAGTCGACCGAAAACAAACAGAATAAGAATAAAATGCAAAGCATCGCTGAAAATGCAGAAATGTGAAATTAATGACTTATTTCAAAACTTCAACCCTGTCCGTGGCCACACGGTAAGATCCTGTTACCAACTGAGGGCTTATATTTTGAAAATCTGACTTCCAACCGCAGGCCTATTGTGAGATTCTGTTACCAGATTGGGATGTGCCTGTCCCCACATAGACAGAAAAACTAGTGTGTTGGTATTTGTGTTTCTATGTGTGTGAGACAGAGAGTTAAATTTTGGATTAAGAATTAGGATTTAAACATTTCTGCACTTGCAAAAAGCACAGTGTTGTATGAACGGTAGAAAGTAGCTGAATCACAGCAAACATATCCCAAAGTTAAAGTAATCCCACCACTCTGGACGGCCTCAAAGACAAGAGTTTGGAGGACCTTGAAGTTTACAATGACCAGTGCTTTCACATAGTGGTCATGGTGAAGGCCAAGAGAAACTGCACTGAAGACTCACAAGTCTCCTCACAAGGTGGGAAATTACAAACCAGGGCTCCAGACTAACTTTTTTGACCTCCGTCCCTGAACCGTCCTGAAATTAATGTAAAACGTCCCAAAATCAAAATGTTGTTTCTTTACTTTATTATCCTCTATAGTAGTTGATGACATAATAAATTATTATAAATTTATATAATAAATAATAATTATTTTGCTTGATTCAACTAAAAGATTTATGCACAGGACTGAAAAGTTATCTGTTGGGGCACCTTTTTAACTTTATTATAAATTATTTAATTTCAATTCAGTTATATACGCCTGGACTTTGTTTCAGCAGGTTTTCTGCTCATGTTCAAAACTTTCTGCACATCTCACATATCTTTGTTCATTTATACTGTATGTCCAGAAGAAAATCGTAATATTATAAGACTTACATCATTATTTAATAAAAAATCATAATATTTTTTAAAATGTCTACCTGACCTATACTTTTCTGTGCTCCCCTCTCACATCTCAGCGCAAATCCTTATGTTAACTTCTGCAGCTCTAATGAAGTGCAACTCACAGTCCCAAACAGAGCCAGATTGTGCTTCAGGTTTCAGATGTTTATAATGCAAAACTCTACCAGCGGGTCTGCTGGCTGAGTCTTAGCGCACACGGGTTACTTTACGATCACACCGTATGCCGAGTTGCATAAATTGGGTGGAGATGATTCTCGCTAGTCAACATTTTCATAATATAGATTTGTTTTTCACTGCGTGAGAATTGTGTTTCCACACATTTGCAAATTTCCCTGCCTTTCCTCTAATTATGTGGTTAGTTACTCTTTCCAGTACAATACCAGATGCCATCTCTTGCACCCATACATGTTTTGGGGATACTTAAATTTTTCTCCAACATAAAGCTGTCAAGGAGGCTTCATGTTGACAGAAATTGGACAAACATGCCTGAAAAACATGTGAAAAGTGAACCTCCTACTTTCCTCAGAAGTGATCTGTGGGCTTTGTGAACTCATTCCAAGTCTGAACTTGAACTCTGAGCTGACAAACCCTGAAGTCTCAAAGTGACATTTTCACATCTGAATACAATCACTTCCATCCACTCTGAGGAGGAAAGTTAAAAAATACATCACACGTGTGTGCAAACGATGCACACAATAAAGGAACAAAGCAGCGGCAGTGAAAGAGTTGGAATGGGGGAGATTTAGGACTTTTTATTCAACATTTCCTGGATTTCTTAAACAGATAATAAATTCCCAGGACAGTAAAAAGTACTATATACTGTAAAAGTCCACAATAAAAGAAATGTATGCACAATGTACACCGATCAGCCATAACATTATGACCACTGACAGGTGAAGTGAATAACACAGATTATCTTGTTACCGTGGCACATGTGGGTGGGTGGGATATATTAGGCAGCAAAGTGATCATTTTGTCCTCATAGTTGATGTGTTAGGAGCAGTGTTGGGGGTAACGCCACCACTTACAATGCTGTCCTTTCATCACTTCCCAGGAACCATAACAAGCATAACCTCTTGGCCTCAGGTGACGATACCAACGATGGTCGTTCAGACTTGGTCATGGGAGGTTTCTAACGGCCATAACGACTGTCGTTACCACAGCCAGGAGCACTAACAAACCAGCAGCATCGATGATCCTGGCAAATGATTCCACAGATGTTAAATAGCTGAATTTCCCTACTGGTCTTGTCAGAACTGAAGAAGTCTCTTGGATGAGGGACGAAACGTCTTCTAGTATCTTCAACCAAGTCCAGTTGCCTTTGACTTTAACCTTCTTTGGATCACCACCATAGTGAGAGTAAACCATGATGTCACTACACAGTGTTTCTGTTTTATGATTACAGGATTGACGTGATGAGGATTTTCCACTATAGTTTATATTTTGAATACTTTATCACTGTATTCGTTTTACATTTATACATAAATAAATATTTTTAAAAGTACTGTCCCGCGACCCTGTATGCAGGATAAGCGGTGGACGATGGATGGATGGATGGAAAAAGTACTGTTGTACCTACTATTTGTAGGAGCTATTGACGTGCCATGTAAAGCATATGTATTAGGTCACATTGCAAGAGTTTGTGTTGGCTGTGGGATAACTTTTGAGCTTCCATTCAAAGTAATTTAATGTACTGTACTTCAGTTTACTTACACTCACAAATAAAACCACTGATCAAGCAGATTCTTCTGAAATGAACTGACATCCCCACAAAATATTGTTGTTTTTTAATGCTGCTGTGACCTTCAGTTGATTTTCTCACTATAAAATACAACTGATAGGTTTTCTAAATACATTATTTATTAATGTCAACCAAAGGATTTAACTTTTTTTTTGCCAAAAAAGGTTATTTTCATCTCTAGTCCCCAAAAAAGACCATAGAATTCAAAAGACTACCCTTTAAAACTCTAGACCGTCTCTCTCACCTGATTCTGAGGACTTGGTGACTAATGCACCCACGCACCTGTACGCAGGATAAGCGGTTGACGATGGCTGGATGGATGGATGGATGGATGGTGAATAATGCATACCAGGACAAACTTATATAAAAGCACGAGGGCATAACATTTGCAGTCATGCTTGTCTGACAAGAACGTATTTAAGAGGCCACGGTTTCCTTTCAACTTACTCTAACGGCAGATTCTGACATTTTAGCTCTTCAAAGGGTAAGAATATGTAATTTTTCACGAAATTTTATCTTAGACTATAATTCAAATGTGCAAATAGTAACATATATTGAATTTAACAGCAAATATGTACATTTAAGGAATTTACAGAATTTGTAAAATCCATAACATTTTCTCAAAACTTAAAGTTACACTCACAATCACATGATTGTGTTTTTCTTGAGAGTTTCTTCAGGTTTTCTTTTGTTAAATAAATTCTGTACATGTTTGAATAATATGATCATCAAATTACATTGAATGCAAAAGTAAATGTCTTTGACAAAATGACACAGTTTTGTCAGACAGAGAAGTCACGATGTTCCAGGATTAAAACCTGCTGTCTATTGTGTATATTTCTCTTCTTCATCCTCTTCATGTCACCGAAGAGGGAAAGAAGACGTAATAGTCTTAATAACTGAGATGGATCTGCGTGAGCCAAAATGGAAATTCTGTGAGTATTTTCTAGCAAATTAATATTGAAGGAACACTTTTATTTTATTTATTTTTTTAACTTTTACTGTCTTTGAGACACTTTGTTCTGTAAACACTTTTGGCAACCTGATCTGGCTGGTAGTAAATAGTGTCGAGTTCTGTCCACGAGTAGCCTAAAAGAGAATATGTGCTGAAAGTGCACATTTCCTCTCTGCAGTCCTTTGATTTTTTCCCTGTCAGTGATTCAAACCCACTGAAGACAGTTATACTTCTGCTCTGTGAGGTTTACACTTCTACAGTTTGGTTTTCATCAGTTTATGATTAAATGAGTCAATTTTTGCTTGTCTAGAAGAATTTTATTCGACCGAGGAAACTCCAGCCTGTAAATGTCGGAACAGAAACGTATTCACTGTAAATGTGATGCAAACAGGGTCAAGTACAGTTGAGTGTCTCTGCTGTAGCGGCTCAACTAGATTTTGGCTCTACAACTTTGCTTCAGGGGAAAAAGCAACTACAGTGAATCAGTAAAGATTAAAAAGAATTTGATTAAAGTTGGATCGTGTGTGTTTTCCAGTTGCTGTCAGTGTGCTGCTGCTCACACTGTACCCCAGTGACACTTCTGCTTTCAACCTGAAGCAACAACTGGCTGATTGTCTGAAAGATCATGACTACGATGAGCTGCTGCAGACTGTGCAGACGGGCCTTCCAAAAATTAATACACCTCATCATGTTGTTATTGTTGGAGCTGGCATGGCTGGACTGACAGCTGCCAAGTTACTGCAACGCCGGACACACGGTACATACACACGCATACACACACATACACAGATAATATTTCTACCAAAATATTTGGGGGTTTGGGGCCTGCAGATTAACCCAATATGGAGTCTAGGGGGAATAAATTACATGCAGGGCTCCTTTTAACTTCTCCCTAACCCCTGTAACCACACTGGTTTGTGATAATTTGCAATAATTAGATTTTGACACAGGAGCCATGTTAAGGGCCCTGCCATTCATTTCATGTTATGTTTTTACATTTACAATAAATCAAATTACCACAAACTAATTCACGGCCTTTGGAGCCGTTACACATGTAGCTTTTTAAATCAGGGACATCTAACTTTTTGAAACAAATTATGGGTAATTATTTTTAATAGTAGTAACGAAGGTAGCAAGAATAGTTAGAATAGTGACAGCAAACGTTTTACAGCAGCAGAAGCAATACTAGTAGTAGCAGTATTTGCCATAGTAAAAACTGCATTATTAGTACCAGCAGCAGTAGTTGTGGCAGTTTAGTAGAATAGTAGTAGTAGCAGCAGTGGTAGTACAAGTAGTATAACAATGGCAGATTCAACAACAGCATTATTACTTCTAGTAGTAGTTTCAGCATCAAATGTAGTAGTAGCATTAACAGTAGTGTTGGAATCAGCAGCAATATTAGCAGTATAATTATTATCAGTACTGGTAGCAGAAGTTGTTAGTAGTTGTAGTAAGACTAGTAATAGTAGCGATAGTTATTGTGGTAGTACCAGAAGCAGTAGGAAAAGCAAAAGCTGTACCTGCTGTAGCTACACCTAGTACCTTTGAAACATTACTTGACCTGCCTCATTTGTAATATCTATTTATATTCACCTGTACTGACAAGGTAACGATATTGGAGGCTAGCGGCCGTGTTGGAGGACGGGTGGAGACCTACAGGAATGAAGAAGAGGGCTGGTATGCTGAACTGGGAGCCATGAGGATCCCAAGTTTTCACAAGTGAGTTGATTTCCCCATCTCAGACCAACATGACTGTGTAAAAGAGAAGCTTTTGAAGCTACATTGAAAAGTGTACAAATTGGCATTCCAGCTTTTTATGAGGTTGATTTGGAAAGATACCATCCAAACATGGATACTAGCAATTTATTTTTACATTAAAGGTAAGCTGAAAATGGAGCTTGATAGAATCCAGAAGAGGTCGTCGCTGTTGTGTTTGTTACTTAACTAAAGATCACAAAGGGATGTAGAAATGTAGCCGCTAAGCATCAGAAGAATCTTTTTCATTTACTGTCTTGGCTCAAACACAGTACAAAACACTTGCAGTCACCAGCTGACTCTGCCACCATCACCTCTGTCAACAGGATCGTCCTCACGGTTGCTAAAGATCTGGGGGTCCAACTTAATAAATTCATCATGGATAACGATAACACCTTTTATCTGGTTAACGGGTTGCTGGAGAAAACATCCACAGTGAAAACAAACCCTGATGTCCTGAAATACAATGTGAGCCCAAGTGAGAAAGGGAAGTCGGCTGAAGAGCTGCTACAGCAAGCTTTGCAGGAGGTATGTAATAATCACGGTGAGTGATGAATAATTATGAACAGCATACTTGCTAAACTTCAAGACATAATTGCCTAAACTGGGAGATGAAATTTAACCACTGTTCCCTTCAGAAAACCTGTCATCCCAGAGACGGTTTTGTTGCATTCTAGTGAGTCATTTTCTTGTTAAAAAGCAAGAGCGCAGGTTTAGCTTCAACATCTGAGGGGTCACACATTAAGTGGGGGGTCTGGGCCTCCTCCTCCTGAAAATGTTGATCCTTAAACACTGTGATGGCAATTTGAGTTTTCAAATAAACAGCTCAGGCAAACACGTGAGTAAGGAGAGCTTCAGCATCAAGCATATCTTCCCACAGAGACACGTTGTCCCTGAGTCCAGGATTACATGCAATATGTTTGGAGATGATAATTATGGAATTCGCATTACAACACTTAATTTCCTGCATTCTGGTAAATTTTCTGCATCAATTTAAAGTGGAAATGTTTTTATTTATATAAGGGGGAAAAGATTCAGGATGCAGGTGACAATTTAAAATCTAAACTATAACAGTTAGGCTCTCAGTCATTCTGTGTTGCTTTCAGGTCAGTATCTCCTGATACCAGAAACAGAGGGGACAGAGTAGTCAGTATAGAAAATGAACCTATGGGCCACTGCCTGCCTTTACTTTATGGGCTGGTCGTTGGCCCCAAGGTGCAACAGCCCTGTTTCTTGCTAGTTTCTCCAACGTTGCCAGCTTTAACTGTTGCCACCATTAAGGTTGATACAGAAGGTTTTTATAGTAACAATAGTTCTCTACCATATTTCATTGCAGGTAATTCAATACTTCACTCTGGACCAAATGTTGGATTTAACATGCATCAGTTCTCTGAAGTCTTCCTATTCTTTATTGTAGGTGAATAAGTATGTGGAGATTTATGGCTGCGAGGAAGCACTGAGAAAATACGACCATTATTCTGTGAAGGTAAAACACGGCATGATCTCATTGAGTGTGTAAATAAGAAAACTGTGTGTTGAGAATGACTTGGCTTTCTTTTAGTGCAAGTGCCCTTTCCAAATGTTTGCCATACAGTCAACTAATAGTTAACTTGAATAAGAAAACACCTTTGGTTGAGCTTAA